GGGCTTGACGCCGTTGACGTCGAAAAGATCGGCCACTTTGAACCAGAGCGCCTTGTCCTTGAGCTGGTGGACGGCAATGGGTGCGGGGCCGACAATGGCGTGTTCCGTCGCCTCGGGGTGCGTGGCGCATCGGGCCCAGGCGGTGCCGTCGCCGCGCGCGTCTTCGTCGAGGTAGTCAAACTTTTCCGTGCCTCGAAAGTTGACAAAATTGGCCCTCTCGCGACCCTTGAGCAGGAGCATGGCGACGGCCATGTCCTCGCCTGTGACGACGTGGAAGCGGCGCTGAAGCCCGGCGAGCAGCTCGACCATGTCCCAGGTCATGGTGTACATGGCGCCGTGGGGGAAAGCGAGGTCCCACGAATGCGAATAGTAGAGCTCGCCGATGACGGTGCGCTCGACGGTGGAGACGTAGCGGCCAGTGCTGTTGGCCAGACGTGGCTCGAGGAAGCGGTCCCAGAAGCCGCGGGCGTTGAAGAAGAGGTCCGTGTCCATCTTGGAGACAAACTCGTACTGGTGGTTGTGGTCGATGAGCCACTGGTAGAGGGCGAGCGTCTTGACCGTGTTGGCGGTCACGTCGTCCTCCTGGAGATGGTCGAGCACAATCATGTCGCCGAACGTCTGATTCTCACTCGAGACGGCGGCAGTCCAGTCGGGTCCAGGGTTGGAGACGACGAAGCGCGTGTCGACGGGCAGGTTGCCGTACATGCGCATCCAGGATGAGCGAATGATCATGCGGCGCTCCATTTCCTCGGCGGCGCAAATGACAACGGCGAGCCAGGGCCGCGGCGGGCGATCGTCGTCGACGGCATCGATCATGGGCGAATCCGGAAACGGCTCCAATGGGTAGAGGCTCGGCGGGGAGCCCTCGACGATGCTACCGTGGACGACGCCTATGGAGCTGGGGACCTCGTAGGGCGCATGGTGGATGGCGTGCGGTCTCGTGTGCAGGAGAATGTGTGTGACAAGACCAATGGTGATGAGGAGGCTGATGGTGAAGAGGCGACGAAACCGTGGCGGAATGTGTTGGGTCAGCGAGGTCCAGATCGCCGATGGCAGCGACAGACAGGGCCGTGCCGAGAACATCATGAGCGACGCATGAGATGAGGGCGATTGTTTGCGCGAATGACGTTTCCCGCGACGATGGGCGTCAGTGAGGGCGATAGCAATAATGGCGGCGGCCGCAGCGTGCGGCGGCGGCGGCTGTCGTCGTTCTTGTCGCCCTTGGCAGTAGGAAGAAAGAAGGGGGGGGGAGGCGGATGGCAAGGTCGAAGTTGAGAGTGAGGTTGACGCGAAGGCGAGTTGGCGCGCGCGCGCGTTGGAGGTTGAGAGAGGAAAGGGAAGTCGTTAATCAAAAGGGGGCGGCAGGTCAAAAAGGGAAAGGCGAGGCAAGGCAGGCCAAGGCGAGCCAAGACGAGGTGCAGGGTAAGGCAAGGGTACCTCAGGAAGGGTCAGGTAGGTACCTAAGCAGGTCAGGAAGGGTCGGTCGGTACCTCCTTACAAAAGGGACACTAGGGCGAGTGAGGTGAGACTGGGGGGAGCCAACAAACAAGATGGGCACTGCTGTGAAACGCCCCTCGAGGAAATGCCCATTCCACTTTATACAATCGATTCGTTTCTGCCTGGGACTAGTTCCTGGGTAGGTGCTGGCCAACGCGAGGGTAGCAAGGAAGGCGAGATGGGCATTCTGGGTCCATGCTCTCTCGTGGCACGTACCTGCAAAAGCCAAAGAAAAAAGAGTCGAGGTGCTTGCTCCTTTACTCCCGGCCCCTGGTACTGCGACCCAAGTCCAGTCACGCTAAGGAAGGTTCCTATGCATGGGTTAGGGGGGGGGGGTGGAAGGGGGAAAAACGGGAGAAGGGCGAGGGAAGGACGTAATGGGACGTACCCGCTCTTCTTTCTACATGTATTCCCCTTCCTCTTCGTCGCTGAGCCACGGCCCACGACCTCCAACCTGGTACGGCCTACGACAAAACGGTCCACGGGTGAGCGAGATCCAGACTCAGCCGTTTGGTACCAAGAGGCTTGGGTCACTGAGCAGCTAGGGGAGGGGGCAGTCGCGGTTTCACCTCCATCATTTTCGTGTCGAGGCCAGAGACGTGTCTGTGCGCCCGTGCCCCCTTCCCCCTGGCCGCTATCTCGGGGTGGCTGCCTGGTGGGGGCCTTTTTTTGAGGCCACAGTCAATGGGCAGACGACGGTTGGTCAGGGCGGGAAAGGCTTGAATTGGGACCTCCCTCCCCTTGCAACCTACCGGGTGGCTCGACTGGGCTGACGAGATTATGGTGTGCAGAGAGAATTACAAAGTAAGAGGGAACCACAGCCCCATCTCTCCGTTTTGGCCGTACGGCATGCAGGATCGACTGCGCGCTGGCGGAATCGAGAAATAGGCAATGCCGCGCGATTGACGTGACGGTGAGTGGTGGCCTTGTGACGTACGTACCGAGGCCACGGCAGTCACCTGTGCTTGGGAAACTGGGCAGCACAAGACACTTTGTGGGATCGAAGCAGACGGGAACAAGGAATTGGCAGTCTTTCTGGCAGCACTAGCTCTGCAGACCTATGGGGCGGGCAGAAGAACTTGGCATATCAGACTAAGATCATGTCTCGTCGAGGCCACGGTTCGCAATTGCAGTGAAGCCCTCCGAGATGAACGACACAACCGTCAACGCTGCCCAAGCCTGTTGTGGCATCATCGTCATCATCATCATCTCTCCGATACGCCTGTCGCGCTGGCAAACGGTGGATTCTCCAATGTGCACGTGACCGAGCTTCAGTCGTGCGGCACGCGCCGGCTTCGAGCGTTGGACATGGACATTGACATTGGCATGACGCCTGCCATGCCGGCACTGCATTCCTGCTTCCTTCCTCCCTACCACCGCGACGTTTCCCACCGGCCCCCGTCATCTTTCATCTTCACCGCAAGTCACTGTCGAACACTTGCATCCTTCAATGGATCTGCACCCAAGGCTGGGGCTGCACTACCAAGGTACTGATACTCCAATAGGGGGAACCGTCTGCTCTGGTCTGGCGACGCAGGCAAATCACGATCCATTGATTGTTTCCCCCGTCACGCCAAGGATGCGCCAACCCCTGGGTCGTCACTGCCGTCTAAAATTGGCGGGAAATGAGCTGGGACCCGCCGTTTTTACTATCCAATAACAGCCTACAGGCACCAGACGGCACGTGCGTTAGCGCACGCCCCATGCAGCTCAGCCTCCTCCTCGCCTTCCTGTTGCTGTTGTTGCTGCTGCTGCTACTGCTACTGACACCGCACCTCATGTACATGGACGCGCAGGCAGGTAGGCACGAACGTAGGCAGCCGCGGCGCTGCATGATATCTGCGAGGGGGCAGGGTCGCGGCTCCTGGTCCTCGGACTGCAACCGGCAACCGTACATGCGACTTCAGTCGTTGCACGTTCGTCTTTCGTGTTGCATTGCTCGCGAGACGAGGGCTCCCGATCACCGTCGCACCGTCCCAAACCTGCGGCTAACGCTGCTGCGGCTGTTGATGCTGATGCTCATGCTGATGCAGTGCAGGAGCCTCATTCCTCCATCCACATCCGCTGCACGCCCGCCTGCCGGTATATTTCCGTCGCGTCATCCTGCGCCGATCGTCCTCAGCCTGTCCGGCACCGCCCACTCCTGCTGCTGCGTCGCATCTGCGCTCTCATGACCACCGCCATCCTGCGCATGGAATGGATTTTCGTGCTGCATGAGCCTTTACCGCCCGACAGCCTACAGCGACTGACTAGGTCGTTTCGAAGTATAGAAATACACTGACTGTCTTCAAGACGCCGCCGCGTCGATACAAGGTAGTTGAGGATCAACGGGCAAGTAGCACTGCCGCCCGGCCGACCGCCCTTTCCCCACCAACGTAACACGCCAAGGCAGTGCCGACTACCGCACCGGGACCCGACCCCGCGAACGCTAGACCTCACACACACACGCATGCACACACACACACACGACCACGCAAGGTGCAGGACGAGAACGGTCCCTCCGCCCCTCCTCCTTCATACCCCATGACGTTGACACACGTGTGCGACGTGATAGACGGAAGGGGGCGTCGTGATAGCTCCGTCAGCCGCACGGCTCGCGACCCCGGTGCCATGTTCCTAATCCTCAGTGGGCGACGAACGGCTCCTGCCTTCTCGCCCGCTTCCGTTGTGCGATGTGGCGCGACGTGCTGAAAATCCTTCAGCCTGGTGATGCTGGTGGCTGTGACGAGGAGACCGGCGTGCTGATGGACGTACAGCTACAGAAAACGCACTCCGGGGCAGATTATGCCTCGTGAAAGGGATCCGATGTGCTGGCATCCGCGTGGCTTGCCCAGCCCGCCATGTTGCTTTCGTCTCGCTGTGCCGTGGATTGTACCCCTCGTCTCGAGGAGCGTATGAAAGTCCTTGAAGGCTCAAAACTCGGAGAGACGGCTGGGCGAGGCTTACGGTCACTTGCCACTCTGGTTCCGACGACAGCGCAGGCTGCGCAACGGCTCAAAGGTCGTCGCACCGTCAAAGTCACTGCAGGCGACCTCGAAGCCATGGCAGGAGCTGTCCCACTTGGTGTGACCCCAAATCCATGCAACCAAGACGACGAGGACTGTCAATGTCAACGCCTGTCGACCTGCTGCAGATTGCCGCCAAACACAATTCGTCGTACTCGTTGCGAGACTCGATGGTTGACCCCAGGAACTGCAGACGACAACGAACCTGTTTGAATGTAGTGAATTACGACTAAGATAAGAAATGTAGAGAGTGTTGTGTTTCTGTGGGCCATACTAAAGCCCCGATAGTCCTGAACGCCTCCTAAACCTGTTCCATTTAACGCCACCCGGAAACAAAGAAGAAACAGAGCGTCTTCAGCAATCTCGTCCTCGACGACTGACTAAAACAAAGGGGAATCTCGGAATGTAAATAGTTGCAACCAAAAGAAACAACCCAGAAGAAATATGTAGAAAAGAAAAAGTTCGAAAAACCAGAGCCCACGGCCGGCTCTGACATGCTCAGCTGTCCCAGATGGCGCCATAGGCCGGCACGCCCCGCGTTTCGAGGCCATACACGACCTTCTTGGTGATCTTCTCGTTGGCGATGATGATCACAGCCTCAGCGTCGAAGCTTTTGGCCAGATTGTAGCCCATCTTGACGAGGTCGGGGCGGCCGAGCTTTTTGGTGTCGTGGATGACAGCATCGGGGATCTTGCCCTTGATTGTGTGCAAAAGACCGTCACCAAAGGTCTTCTCAGGCTCTTTCGTAGACCAGATGAGTTGCGTGGCGCACGAAGGATTCTGGATGTGACCAAGCACAGGACCGATCCCGGATCCTGTGGCGATGACCACGACGCGGTTGAAGAGCGTCGCGATGCGCATGACGCCGCAAGTGGGGACACCGCGCACCCACATGTGCGTTGGAGGCTTCTCAATACAAGCTCGCGTCCAATCGCCAGCGTTGGAGACGACGAGAGAGTAGCCCTTGGGTCGACCATCGACGGGCTCCGGGGCGGGAATGGTGGCAAAGGAGTGCCATTCGAGAAGAGGTCGATGGGAGATGCGTGTGAACGAGCCGTTGACGGGCACTGTGTAGTCAAAGTGCAGGCGGATGGCGTGATTTGACAAGACTTCGGCATCGACTGGGACCTTGCGGAGGAAGAACCAGGATGATGCAATGCTCAAGGTCGCGACGGTGAGCAGCCAGAAGGCGGGCGACCGGACACAAGCATCGCCAAGCGACAGGTCGGTGGCCTTGTCATCATTGGTTTTCAGAACAATCTGTGCCCAGAAGAGGCCAAGCATGGTCCATCCCACGAAGCGGTGCGTCTTTTCGAAGAGGTTGTGGTGTGTCTTCCTGATGGAGGGGTATGCCAGGACAAACATGACCATGAACAGAGCAGACAGCATCCATGAGATGATCTTGGTGGCCAGCGACTGCCTGCCCCAGCCAGAACATTGAGAGAACATACACACCGTGTCGCTGATGTTGGAAGCAAGAAGCCACAAGCCTGCACACACAGCGGCTCCTGCGTGGACTCCACCGAGGTGGTAGATCTTGGCACACCGAGACCTGATACACAGCGGCCACGATTTCGGCACGTTGCAGGTGATTGTGTAAAGGGCGTTGATGACGAATTCTTGGCGGACAAGAACGGCGGTGGCGAGGTTGATGGATGTGATGATACCGATCCATTCTTGCGTTGGCCCTGCCAACACAAGCGCAATAACGGCAGCAATATTGAAAAGACCAACAAGCGTGAATAGGCGGCGGTAGACGATGAGCAGGCGGTTGCGCAGGTTGCGGAATGGCTTGCGGTGCGTCTTGGAGGGCACGTCTTCGTCCAGGTGGCCCTTTTCGTCTGGGACTGGGATGTCGGAGGCCGACAAGACCGAGTTGACTTCTGTGACACTCGACGTGGACGAAATGGACCTCGCCTTCTCCACTGCGGTGACCTTGGAGCGGATGGACTTGCCTGAGGCGCTCTCACATATGGTGGATGCGTCGTCTTCAGGCGTGATAGCGAAGGACCGCAGAGCCTTCTTGTCAATCTTGCCGTTGGAAGTCAGAGGGAGAGTTGCAAGACGGTGGAATTTGGTAGGAATGGCGTAGTAGGGTTGACGACCCTTGATGTGTTCCTTCAGTGCATCAAGGTTGCAGTGTTTGGGCGTCACGAAGCCATGGATCTCTTCGTCGATCAGAAGGGCGGCCGCTCTGTCGACCTCGCAGAACGTGTTCATGGACGACGTCACGCCATCAAGCTCGACACGGAAGCCCTAAGAGGAAGTCAGATGACCGAGTCGACTGGGTGAAGTGAAGAGCAGACGACGTGTCTTACCTTGATCTTGACCTGGTCATCCACACGGCCCAGGATATCCACCGATCCGTCGGCCGCCCAGCGGCAGAGATCCCCAGTGTTGTACATCATGGACCTGCGGTCAAGTCAGCAGTGTCACTTAGTCGACCACCAGACAGACTCACCCGTCGTTCACAAAGGGGTCGCGCTTATACTTCTCGGCCGTCTTCTCCGGCAACTTGACGTAGCCGCGCGAGACGCCAAGGCCACCCGCCCACATGATACCCGCCTCGCCGACCCCGACAGGGGTGCCATCCTCGTCGAGCAGGTAGACATTGTTATTGGGCGTGGGTCTGCCGATCGAAAGAGGCTGCCCGGGGACGTGTGCATGCATCGTGTTGACGATGGTGGTCTCGGTCGGGCCGCAGCAGTTGTAATATCGGCCATGCGTCGCCCACGTGTCGGCCAGCCTTCGGGAAGATCAGCATGATTAAGCGAGACATGGAGATGGGATATCGAGCATACCTTTGAGAACTCGGCTCCCCTGCAGTAGCGACAACCCGGATACTTGGGTAATCGCGGGGATCATACTTGGCGAGTATGCTGGGCGTGCAGATAAGAACATCCATCTAAATCCTGGTCAGCTACGCTCACCCCTCTCCGTCGACGTCACTCACTTGTTGGAGGGCTTGCACCCAGTTCGAACCGCGCAGGATCAGAGTACCACCGTTACAGAGACAACCGAGCATCTCCCAAGCAGCTGTAAAGGTGGGGTTAGTCAAGGTTGCTACGGGATGGAAGCACCGCTACGTACCCATATCGAAGCTGATGTTCAGGATCTGACCAACGCGTGTGCCGGACCCAATATCCAGTCCTCCTGGTGACAGGCACACTAGATTTGTGACATTCCGGTGAGTAACGTCAACTCCCTTGGGCGTTCCCGTTGTGCCTAGATCTGTCAGATACTTTTCCGTAAGCGAAAGGGGCGAAGACATACCTGAGGTATAGATGACATAGCATCCAGAGTCAGACGTGGCCAGGTCTTGTGGCGTTGTGGACTTTTCATAGTCGTCCGCCTCCGGAGCGTCGTCCCCGTCAATGGCGATGACGTTGCTGACACCGGACCCAGCCAGGCGGTGCTGGGTGGACCGCAGGACCAAGACAGTGCGTCCACCCGTTTGTTCTAGAACGAAACGCAGGGTCGAGTCTGGCACGACGCCACCGTCGAGTGGCACGTATTGGGCGCCACACGTAAGGATTGACATGATGCCGACCAGCATATCAACACCCCTTTTGACGACCAGGGGCACCCGATCGCCTGGACCGACTCCAAGCTGGCGGAGCCGATGTGTAAGTCGCGCGCTGCGCTGGGCCAGATCTCGGTACGTAATCTGACGTTCGGGCTGGGCGGAAAGATCGCGCGCCGCAACAACGTCAGGTTGAACGCGTGCATGATGAAAGAAAGCTTGCGTGACTGTTGAGAACCGGGGCGCGGCTCGTGGGCCATGTGTGAAGGACAGAGGAGGGCAGCAGGGCGCCGCGGGAACGATGCTCTCCATAATGGTGGGCGGCGCGGTGAAGTGACCGGCTTGGACAACGGATATCTCTCGGTGATGTGACTTTGTCATCGAGAATATGAAAGAGGGGGGGGGGGGGGGCGGTGATAGGAA